TTCAGGGAGAGACTGTTGACTTTAGAGATGAAAGAAATTAGTAGAGTAAGAACAGCAGGTCACTCAATTCTGAACCTCCAGGTCTAGCTCATAATAGAAGCTTATTTGCTAGTTTTAATTTAATCTTAAAAAGGAAATCTCCAACACACAGTTGGGGGTTGTGAGGGCACGTGCTGGGGAGTGGGAGTGGCCAGGGAGAGGTCAGTGGGGGGAAAAGGAGACATATGAAATACTTTAAACAATAAACAATTTAAATTTTAAAAAAAGGAAATCTCCAAATATTGTCTATCCCTGGATCCTGTTTTGCTCATGCACATGCTGAACCATATTGGCCTCTTCTTTGGGTAGAATGTACATCTGACACTTATTTTTCCACCAACAGGCTTAGTAGTCAAAACTATCTAAAAACACTGCTCTCATTTTAATATAACATTAAATTACTATTTAATAAATAAAGTAAACTTTTGTGTAATTTAATTGAATTCTGAATGTGGCCCAGCACTTGCCAAAACTTCATTCAAGACATCTGGTGTTTGAAAAAGGCAGTCCAATGGACATGCCATGTAGTCATTGCCAAGTTCTATCACACACAATTAAAACATCATAAAGATAAGCACCTAGCTCAGTGGTTTCACAGGGGTCGCCTAAGACCATCGGAAAACACACATATAATTACATATTGTTTTAGTGATTAATCACTATGCTTTAATTATGTTCCATTTGTAACAATGAAATTGGGGGTCACCACAACATGAGGTGGTCGCGGCATTAGGAAGGTTGAGAACCACTGACCTAGCTCAATCTCTCAGCCACCCTCGGCAAGGGGCCTTCACAGGTGGAGATTTAGCATTAAAAGGATGAGGCAGTAAGAATTGATCCTTTTGAAGTGCAGTAATTAAAGATACTGTCAACTATGTAATTCACATAATAAAAATCATATTTTAGTTATTTCACACACACAAAATTGTCTTTATAGATAACCATGTTTTCCTCCCCTGCCCCCAAAAACTAATATGATTCTCTTTCCATTACATATATCAACGTCCCTAAGACCTAAATTTATTCTCTAGTTGTATTCACTGGTTTATTCCAGTGGCTGGTAACAAACACTTTTTCGCTTTCATTCTTACATGTCCTACTTTGTATATTTTAACCTGTGCACTACCTGAAGTCCTTTTGGAAACAAACGAGGTATAGCACGCAAACCAAAAAGTACTAAATAAACAAGGCCAACAGAAGAATTTAAAAATTCAATTATCTTCCCCAGATGGGAAGGTGAATAATACTTTACAAGAGGAAGGTCAATGACAAGTGTGAAGATTAAGTTAGGTGGTCCATTATATTTGATGAAAAAACTCTTAGCCAGCAAGATATCAATCTCTCTTCCTCAATCAATAAAAGGGACGTTGCAAGCATCCACATAATATAATTTGCCTTCAGTTGCTCCCGTGCACAAATGCTCCTTCCTGGAATGATAATCAGTAGCAGCTCTGGTGTGCCTTGGTTACCCTCTCTTCCCAAGAGAGTTCGAATGATTTGTCGAGAGCAAGGGTCACCCATAAATTCAGACAGTGTCAACGCCACCTCAGCAGATTCAATTCAAAGAATGAAGAATGCTGACGCTGCATGGCAGCATACAGCAGCTTCTCCATTAACTCCCTGCAGCGGACCCGCGAGGCTGAGCAGGTCTTCATGGATAACCCAGAAGGAAATATAGAAAATAGCAGGCAGGATAGCTTACATGTACCTAGGAAAATTACAACACAAAAATCAAAACTGACATCATAATAAAAATCTAAGGAAAGGTGTTGATAAACAGGTCCCTTTGGCATAAATCGGTTACCATAATTGCTACGCAGGGGTATACTTTCTTCATAGGCTAGGATCTGCTTTATTGCTGCATAAATTAGCTAATCCTGCAAAAATGCACAGAAAGCAATCCGCTTTATTGCATACTCCCTTTAGTCACACTGTGTTTATTTCTGCCTCGTGTCTGCTTTGGAAATGCATACCCGTTGCATGCAGGAAATTATTTCACAACTGGTGGCCTTGCCCATGTCCTCCAGCTCTTTTTCCTAGAGGACAGCCATTCCCTAGGCCAGTGGTCAGCAAACTGCGGCCCCTTGAGTGTGGCTCTTCCACAAAATACCATGTGCGGGCGCGCACGTACAGTGCGATTAAAACTTCGTGGCCACGCTCAAGGGGCCAAAGAGCTGCATGTGGCTGGAGAGCTGCAGTTTGTCGACTACAGCCCTAGGCTATGCCGTCCACCCACAAAGAACTACAAGACAGCACCTGCCCCTCTTCCATGATCTGTCACAGCCAGGAAACAGAAATCACAGCCCCTCAGACAAAGGTAGCTTTGTTGTTGGCTTTCTCTCTAACCATTTAATCAGTATGTCTATCTAAACCCGGTTCCCGAAGCCCATGACTTGCAGCCAGTTCTTAGCAAATGTAGCTTAAAGATCCTCCGTGGCCTGGCCAGGTAAAATCTGATCTCATCTGTGTTCAGGGCATCTTACCTTTTCACCTGCTATTTCTGTTACATTCCTGAGGGTGGTGACCTGGAATATGACCCAACTAGCCCAGTTATACTTCAAAGTATTGGGGGAGAAAGAAGGTGGAAAAGATAAAGCAAGAGGAGGGTAATAAAATCCGATTTGGTGAAAATGGACCACTTGAAAAACGAAGTTAATAATGCCACAGAAAAATCACCATGTGAGCTGGGCATCACATGGCTAGGATCTGAACGGGGCAAGTAGTAGGGCGATTAACCAGGCTGATGCCCAAAAGGAGATTAATAAAAATATTAATCCAGACCCTATAGATGCTGGATTATTATGAAATAGAATTACTAGAGATTTGGAACCAAAATGGGTTTCTCAAGCTCTTTACGAAGACCAGTTCTTCCCGATACTCTAAAGCAAGTCATCCATCACCAAGCACAGAGGGAAGCACAGAGCAGGCAGCCTATAAGGGATGATCAAATTCTACCACAGTCTTCAGCTCAGAATGCTATTAGGCCTCATTGATTAGGCATGACTGGACTAAATGCTTTTCAAGCCAGTAACAAGTCTGAATTTTAACATGTTTTAAACAAAACCACAATGCGATTATTTTAAATCTTATATGGTAACTCAGGCAACTTTAACAACATTCGTCTGAGGTCTCCATTGATGTTTACTCGATACATTAGCATCATTTGTAATTACCACATCATGGTTTCAATGTAAATGGATGCTTTGGAATTGCTTTGATGCTGAAAATACTGTAATTTGCCCCCTTATGTTGCTTAAACATTGTTCCATTCTTCTTATTTTCTGCAGCATCAGGACATTTCCGAACCAGTGGCACACAGACAAACTTCAGACACTACCCTGACATGATTTTCCAAATGTCCCAATTAGAAGATGTGACTTAATGAGGTTCTCATCATACTGTGAATTACAGAAATAAAACCAGAGCAATGCATCTTACAGACAAGAACCTCAGTGTAAATATTGACATGCCTGCTTTTTACTTGACTTGAAGAGGTGCCTAACTTTGTCCTTCAAAACGTCAAACTAGCCCTCAGGTTTGCCTGCCACTGAAGCCTAAGGATGCAGCGGATACAGGAAGAACAGAGCGACATGAGCTGACGGGCACGCCCGAGTCACTGAAACCAGGAAGGCTCTTAGCAAGCTGATGACGATAGGGCAGAAAATAGCTTTCATATTAGTGCAAGCTGAGCTCTTACTAATTTTTATTGGACTAATAAATTATAAGAAGAAAAAGGAAAAAGAATCCCGAAAGTCACCTATGGGAGACGAAACACGGGAGCGAGTAAGTGTTTGGGGGCTGAAATCCTGCCTTTTCTCATTTTCGAGCTGTCATCCTGGACCAGCTACTTCTTATCTCTAGGCCTTGGTTTCCTCTTCTGTAAAACAGGGATAAGTAATACTTTTCTGGATATAAGAATAAACGAGGCAAAAATGCTTAGCTGGGCATCTGCACCCAGTAACTCCTTCCAAGACAGTATTACGTTTACTGCTACTGATATTGCTAGTACTAGTATTATGCCCTATATCTCCCTATGTGATCTAACTCCGTTTCTCCTCAAACAAGTGAGGTTTCAGCAAAACGAATACTTCAAATGTTATGTTCAAAATCAGTGCTGCTGCTGCTGTCGATGGTGATATGTCAGACATGGCCAAATGCTTTACACACACTCTCTGTTCTTAATTCTCACAGTGACCCACTGGGGGAGTGATACTAATATTTTATTATCATATAACATTATACTTCATATTCTTTTATCTTACAAAGGAGGAAACTGGTGGACAGAGAGAGGAAAATTAAAGCCCAAATTTGAACTCAGGGAGACTGAATCCCGAGGCCACGCTTTTAGCCACTGCTCCAATCTGCTTCCTTCTTCATTTCTACTTCTGACGATGATGTATCTGAGGAGTAAGCCTAGCACTGAGCCGATTTTTACATTCTGAGCAGTGTTACTCTGGTCAAGCGTCCAATTGCTGTCCATGATACGCAGGACGCCAATTCCTTTCTCCAGGACTATGAGCTCACTCAGGTGACAGAATCTTGTTACTCACTATGCTAGTTTGTAGGGGACAGAAGATAAAAGCAAAACATGGCTTCTATTATTTGAGTTCTCAAGTTAGCGCCTCATCCAGATATCCCAGAGCATTCCCAACCAGAAGGTCAAGATCCTGATACCTAAAGCCCCGGTGGCTGCACGTGACCAATTTCTACCAGTCTCAGACATTTCAACTTGCGGGAAGGTTGGTGGCTTCCAGTCAGGATTACTTGAACCACATCTCCCATATATTCGCGTACATGTATTTATCACCCCTCAACCCCATCTTGGTTTATTTTTTCTGCTAGGAAATACCACACCCGTTTCAAAGCAAGGCCACCTGCCTCCACCTCCTCCTCGTGCTGGGAAAGGAAGGTTAAGAATCACTTCAAATGCTTTAAAGGCGCGCCCAGGGCAGCGCTCTTACCCTTGCAGTGAAGTCCACGGCGGCCGCGCGGTTTAACAGCAACGTGGCTACATTGATGTTTCCATAGTGAGCCGCTATGTGGAGCGGAGTGAAGCCACTCTGCAAGGAGAAAACAGCAGACGTTCAGCGGAGTCCTGCCGGCCCCCGTCTGACATGCCAGGATCAAGGCCCCGCCCAAATAAAAATGAGGAAGCAAAATATGCTGAGGTCCGCATTCCATTCTGTACTAGGTTTCTTTCGGTTAGTGCCAATTGCTCACAGGGTTTCAAATAAACGCCAGACTCGTAGGCAGAGGAAGAGCCAGGAAGGATCCAAGGGCGGAGATTGAGCAGTTTTGGGAATCTGGTAGCAGTACATAGAGAAGCCAACGTTTCAAAAGTTAAAACAGGGATGACAAGAAAAATCCTTATAGTTCATAGAAAGTTCAATTAGTACCAACTGTTTTACTATATTGATGGCAGAATTGTCCATTGATACTCTTTGCCAAAATTTGATTTGTTTTATGTATTCAATGTAAGATCAAATTATAAAGATAAAAGCAATTTTGGGGAAGAGGTGCACTGTATGGTCTTGTATAGTGGGTGATTGCATTCTAGAAAGAATCCACCAGTTGGTCACTTTATTAGCAAATGCCTATTCAAGAACACATTTTTCTGGATTATTCCTACCAAGGTCATTTTACTTCCTTAAAAAGAAATGGTAAAACATGCAGCGATTTACTTAGTCCCCAAAGATTAAAACCTTATAGGAACTAGATGCATTTCTAAATTGTTAGCAAGCTTCGCAGCCATGCTAGCTAGCTCACTGACTCCTGTGGAAGGGTGGGTCATGGTGGTACCATTCTGAGGTCACTTTCATTTTGCTGACACCATTGAGGGTAAGTGTCATGCAGAACTCTACAGAATCAGTCCTACAGGAGAGAATGGCAGGGTTGTCTGCAGCTTTGGGTAGAGCTGGTAAGCATCTCAAGTGTTGGAAATGCTTCATCTCACACACCTCTATGGCAATCCCCTTAAGATTCAAGGATTCCTCATTCCTCCTTTCAAACACCGGGTTCAGCTGCAGAAAGCCCTGGTAACCAAACTACTGTCTTCTCTAGCACATGCTCCTTTGGGGGCGGGGGTAGAAAGCAGGTATCTAGCCTACAGAAGGCAATGCAAAGAAGAAGGGAAAGAAATGAGGCCGCAGCACTAAGGGATGGGGACACGATGATGCAGATACAGATTCTATGTACATGTATATAGATATGTACCTCTGTTGTTCTATTCACCACCATCTAGGGTAACACATTGGGAAGCAAAGAGGAGGAAAAAATGAACGGTTAGTTCGCTGTCGGTGACGTGGACTGCAGAAAGCTCACGGCAGCTAAGGAATGAGGATGAAAGCTCTGATGGAAGCACAAAAGGCACAGAAAGAAAGCTAGACTGAAGGAGGGCTACACGGTGGCCTACTCCAAATGCCTCGTTCCTTCCAAGACTCTCCAGGAACACATGTCAGGACAATGGGAATTGCTGGCCAGGACTCTGGCTGCTGGCACACTCTCCGCAGGTGGCCGACACTCAGTGTGTCTCCTGCCATCTTAGCTAGCAACCAAAGGATGATCTGCACACACTGTTGTTAGCATTTTGTAACTTTTCACTCTGATGTTTGCGCTGAAGAGTTAAAGACATGACAGATCTATTACGAGGGAGGAAACCATCAGGTTCATATGCATCCATTTTGAGGGGGCCTCCCTGTTAGCATGCATAGGGCAGCATCCAGGGTGACTTCCTAGCTTTAGGGGGTGAGGGGAAGGTGCTTCCACTGGCTGACCGGGACACGTGCTTTTCTCCCTGCCAGTGGAGTTGCAAGTTTGGCAGCAGCTTGCCAAAAGGGAGGCCAAGCATCTGAAAGTTGGGGCGCCTACGCAGGATGGCTGCAGGAGAGGAGCGTCCCCGGCGCCTCACCTTGGACTCCACGTCTGCGTTGTGGTCATTCTGCAGCAGCAGGGCGGCAGCTTTCGTGTCATCCTTTCGGGCGGCGATGTGAAGAGCCGGAAGCCGCACTTTGCCTTTAGTGTCATTTTCTAGCAGGAGGGACACCACTTGATCATGACCTTGTTGCAAAGCCACTGCCAACGGCGTGAAGCCATCCTGTAGATAAATGGACGGGACAAGGTTGGTTCCAATGCATATTTTCTTTTCGATTAACAAAGAAGAAGGCGATCAAGTGACCAAGGGTCAATTTTTGTTTAGGGTTACAAAAGCTAACACATGCAAGTAAACATATAGGGGTTGGCAAAAGTAGGTTTATAGCCGTGAGTACGTGAAACACAGAGTTTTTTTTCTTGTATTGTTATTTATAAATTATTATTTGTTTGTATTATAACTATAAACCTACTTTTGCTCACCCCTGGATATGTGAAAAGACATTTTCAAATATACATATATCAAAGCGGAAAATAAGAAAATTTCAATAACTTTATGGGGTTTTCTTTCTGTTAAAAAGTGATGTGCATTAATTGAGTAAATTTTGAAAACTTAAAAAGAATCTTAAAAAGCCATAATTTTAATACCCGTAATATAATCTTAGTGAAAACAATAACATTTCAGGTTAAATCCAGTCACATTTTTCAAAGGAACTAATTTAAGTAAGCTATAAAAATCTCCACTGATTTCCCCCCCTTTATTTTTATTGATTATACTATTACAGATGTTCCCATTTCCCCCCTCTTTGCCCACCTCCACACCCAGTCGCTACCCTCTCTTCACTCTGGTCATCACCACACTGTTGTCTGTGTCCATGGGTTATGCATATATGTTCTTTGACTAATCCCTTCACCTTCTTTAATCCAATCCCCCGCCTTCCCTCCCCTCTGACAGCTATCAGACTGCTCCATGTACTGGTATCTATGCCTCTGTTTCTATTTTGTTCATCAGTTTATTTGGTTCATTAGATTCTACATATAAGTGAGATCATATGATAATTGTCTTTCTCTGAGTGGCTTATTTCACTTAGTATAATACTCTACAGGTCCATCCATGCTGTTAAAATGGTAACATTTCCTTATTTTTATGGCCGAGTAGTATTCCATTGTGTAAATGTTCCACAGATATTTTACCCATTCATCTACCGATAGGCATTTGGGCTGTTTCCAGATCTTGGTTATTGTAAACAAAGCTTCTATGAACATAGGGGTGCATATATTCTTTTTTTATATATATAGTTTTATTGATTTCAGAGAGGAAGGGAGAGATAGAAAAATCAATGATGAGGGAGAATCATTGATTGGCTATCTCTTGCAAGCCCCCTACTGGGGATTGAGCCCACAACCCAGGCATGTGCCCTTGACCAGAATTGAACCCGGGACCCTTCAGTCTGGGTGGACGCTCTATCCACTGAGCCAAACGAGCTAGGGCGTATGCATTCTTTCCAATTGGTATTTCGGGATTCTTACAATATATTCCCATAAGTGGGATTGCTGGATTCCACTGATATTTTAAAATTGGGGAATATGCTTGTCCGGTTCATCACTGTCCCTTGTTGCCTATCATACACCTGGTTTTCAATCAGACCGTATGAATTAATAAATTGTAATCATTGCTGTTGTAAGAAAGGTCTACATAAAAGACTCTTGGCTTCTCTGAATAAAAAGAGAAGACACAGGGACCATGCAAAATATGCCTAGAATAAATTCCCACACAAATATTTGTACATTTTGTATTGCCCTAGGATTGACAAACAGGAGACAGCTACAGATTTCTCTGTGGTTAATTTATTTGTGGATGATCTGGTGTTGTTGACTGTAGAATAAATAGCACAGAGGAAAATTCTGAGACTGGCTCACAAATTTTACTTCTGAAATGCTTTCATTACCACACAACTCAAGAGAATATTTAAAAATTGTTTTTACTAGAGAATTGGCAATTAAATGACTTATTACTTTAACTGGGTCACGATGTTTTATTCTGTAGTCCTTGTGGCACAAATTAAGGGTCACTGTAATAGAAAAGCATTTGTAAGGGAGAAAGAGAAAACCTGGTCACTTGCAAACTAGTGTCTTGTTGGCCTTTCTAAAATCCTTTTCCTCATTCTTTTCCTTTCTGGAAAACGGATAAGGCCTCCTACCATTTATTTGACTGAATACAAATCAGCACGTTTATATTCAAGGATGCGGAAAATATTGGCCCTAAAACCCTGAAGGGACAATATTGCCCAGACTCATCTAAATCCTTTTGTCCAGTCTCCTTGCTGACTGTGGATGTACAGACCATTCCTACCCTGGCATCCAAACTCATGTTAATTTCCCCCCTCCCTCCCCTGAAATGTCCTCCTCCTCATTCTGCATATAAGAATTATGTTACTCTCATTGCTTCAAGACCTGGCTGAGGTCGCACCTGCTCCTTTCAACTCTTCCAAGTGGACCCGAAAGAGGAAAGGGATGAGCATTAATGTAACCAGGATAATGTTCCAGGCAGCCGTAAGTAAGATAAAAGAGAAAGGCTGCAACCAAGACGTCACCAAAACAGGATCACTGGTTTACATGTAAGAACAGAAAGTTCAGAATGTAATTTAATGTTATGGAAAAAGTCATCTATATGTAAATATATGATCTCATTTTCATAAAGTAACTCTGTGTGTATTGTGTACATGTATAAAAAAATCTGGAAGAATAAACAAAATGTTATCTCTAGGGAAAATCAGCAGTGGCCTTTTCTTCTTTCTGCTTTTCATTGTACTTTCTCATTTATGTATTATATTATTTCTGCAATAAAAAGAAAAATACACTTTAAAATTTTTATTTTGTTAATCCTCACCTGAGGATATTTTCCCATTGATTCTTAGAGAAAGTGGAAGGGAGGGGGAAAGACAGACAGAGAGAAGCATGGATGTGAGACACACACATTGGTTGCCTCCCAAATAAGACTGCAACCGAGATATGAAGTACATGCCCGCCGGGACCCTTCAGTCCAAGGGCTGATGCTCTATCCACTGAGCCAAACCCACTTCTGTTCCAAATAAAAACGAAATGGCTACATTTCCACTGACATAAATTTTTAAATCCATAGGACCCAGGCATAAAGAAAACTACTTTGCACAAAAAAATAAACTGCAATTGAGGTGGTAGAGCATCTTAGTAGATAGCGCGTCAGTTTGTGGACTGAAGGCTGCCAGGTTCAATTCCGGTCAAGGGCACGTACCTCCTTGTAGGCTCAATTCCCGGCCCTAGCTCAGGGCAAATGTGGGAGGCAACCAATCAATGTTTCTCTCTCTCCTTTCCTTCCACTCTTTCTAAAAATCAATGGAAAAATATATTTGGGTGAGGATTAACAAAAAAGTAATAATAAAAAAATAAAAAAAGAAGGAAGATATATATGGGACAGATATGATATGTAATACCCAATAACATAGAAATGGTTTGAAAATCGCAGCCATGCCAAAGACCTGATTCAAAAATGCAAGGTGCATGTGAAAAAAATATATATTGAAGAAATGACAATATCATATCATTTAATGAATTGATTCTGTTAAAACTTTGCCACCTAAACAATGCTTTAATTGCCCCCTACTGTTTGTTCTGTAAATACAGACTTCTGTAAAATGACACCAATATTATTGTTAATGAGAGGAATATTGCACTTAAAACATTTTGTGAATAAAGTGCCTTATTTCTTGTTCTTTTTAACTCTAATACCAATAATCCAAAAGAAGACAGAAAGTCCAAAGGTTCAAACATCGCTAGATAATCAGACAGCTGCTGTTTATGTAGCGAGGCACCAGCAACCCCCAGGAAGACATAAATGTGATTTGTTTTTAGAACAATTATTTATTGCATTTTTTAGAGCCACTGAAAAAGCTAACATGAAATTAAGTTAATATAAAGAAGTAGCCGAAACCGGTTTGGCTCAGTGGATAGAGCATCGGCCTGCGGACTGAAGGGTCCCAGGTTCGATTCCGGTCAAGGGCATGTACCTGGGTTGCGGGCACATCCCCAGTAGGAGATGTGCAGGAGGCAGCTGATCGATGTTTCTAACTCTCTCTCTCCCTTCCTCTCTGTAAAAAATCAATAAAATATATTAAAAAAAAATATATAAAGAAGTAAAAATGTTTTAAAATATATCCTTTGCCAAAAGACGGAATTAGTGGTTTGAGAATCTCAGGTACTATTTTTCTTTAAGTTGGTTACAGTTGGATCTTGAAAGCTTAAAAAAATGCCAGAGAATTAAGTGAGCTATTGAGGATTCCTTAACAAGGTAATTCAGATCTACTTGCAGGAAGTTGGACTTACGCTTGCTTCTAAGAGAGATACTGCTGACCTATACTTCGCAGTCAGAAAATAATACTACCCGTCCTTCACAGACAAGAAAGTACCGTGGAATCACTTTCATTGGGGTACTTATATTATTTAGAGTTTCCATCCAAAAGTGGGAACAGATCTTCTCTTATCCAACAGTGTCTGCTCCCGTCCCATTCTCCCTGCACAACTTGGCAGAGCCCTCCTGTGGCCTGGAGGGGTCGCAACCAGGCTACCTACTGAGGTGTGAAGACAGGCACTGCCCTACATCTATCAAATGTTTGTTCTTTGTTACCAACTCAGCAGTTATTTCTTGACTAGAGTTAAGAATAATATTATTAAAAAACCCATTCTCATGATAAAAATCCTCAATCGTACTGAAGGCTGTAAAATGAAAAGTAAGGCACCCTCCTAATTCTCAGAATCAACCACTAGTCATGTTACACTAAGGAGATATATATATATATATATATATATATATATATATATGAGTCTTGTCTCATTTTTAATAATGCTGAATAGTATTTTCTTGTGTAATACAGTCATGTTAAACAAGTTTCCTAACTGGTGCATATTTAGGTTCTCTCCAGTTTTTAAAAAAGTGTTAATTATTTTGAACTTCGTATTTCGTGTTTATCCCCTAACATACCTGTAATATGAATTCTTAGAAGTAGAATTGCTGAATTATAATGTGTGAAATATTAATTTTTAATAGTTACTGCTAAATGTTCTGCAAAAGTGGTGCAGCAAACTATCATCTTTGCCAAGACTGTAGGAAAGTTTCAGTTTCTTCAACCTCACGTTTTCCCCTCAACTCATGGGTATAAGAATAGACCTCATTTTTTTATCTGATTAATAAATTCATATTTCTTTGACGATGAGTGAGGGTAAGATATTTTCATACAGTTGTGGCCATTTGTATTTCTTTTTGTGTGAACTGCCTCTTCATTTATTTAGTGCTTTCTCCAGAAGGCATGATCGCAAAAGTGGGGTGGGGTTATATGTGAGTCCTTTATTCCTAAGTTTCCTGTGCCATTCAGGAAGCACATCTGAATGCAAATAAGGGCAGTGGTATTACGACAGAGATAAGCCTGCATCATCTGTCCTAATTAATTATTTTGTTAAAAATACGGAAAACCCAAATGTGGTTCCTTCATTATTTGCAAGAGATTTGTGTGACACACTTCATAAGGCATTGCCATCGTCCATCCAAATTAGTTTAAAAATGAAATGTATTATCTAAGATAGAACCAATAACTTAAATAACTTTTTATTTGAAAATTACTCTTCTACTCAGGGCTGCAAAGATTTAAAAAAACAATTTTATTTATTACTTATAAATGTGTAATAGTGTTGTTTGAATGTATGAATTTAATCCAATTAGGTGATTTTAGAAATCTATACACTCAAATATTATTATGCTAAATTAAACTTGGAAAAAAAACTGATTCAGAACTTACGTTCTACCACAAAAATATTTCAAATCAGTGGTTGTCTTCAAAGCAAAATGATAAAAAACAGAAAAGTGTTCACAAGCAATAGGTAAATATTAAAGCAATAACTCAATTATAGGGTAGGGGTAGGCATTTAAGAGCAGAAAGTGTATCTATGCAATGGAAAATTCTTAAAAATTAAAAAAAGCCTTTCTAATGTATTTTATAACAATGCATGAACCCACACACTAATATACAATTGCAATTAAAATACCAGTGAGATAAATGTTAAATGTTTTAACTCCAGGGTTACAAAATGTCCTATAAACATGCAAACTTCCCCACAGAAAGAACCCACGTGTCTTACCTCTGTGGCTAGGCTCTGGCTGGCACCATTGTCAAGAAGAAACTTGACAACTTCCAGGTGGTTTTCCTGGGCTGCCATGTACAATGGGGTGAAACCATTCTGCAAAATAAAAAGTAAAATGTTTGCAGCTTTCTAGAGCCAATCTATTTTTCTACTGTACCGATAATAATATAGGTTTCAGGAAATGCTCACACATAATTTAATAACACTTTAATGGAGACATTCACATATACTAAAAACACCTAAGCACAATAATGTAAATGAATTTATAATATAAATATAATTCACAATTATACTTCATAATTCAGTTTGAAAGTAGTTTGTAGGTAATAGTTTAATTAATATTAATATATCCACTTTAGATAAGAGAGTACATTCATTTAACCACTTGAGTGCCTACCACAAATAAAGAATCTTACTAGATATCAAAAGGATATGAAGAAAAATACATTTGATCATTGTACCTCCTGAGCATTATCTATTTTAAATAAAATATGTAATACTTTTACATAAAAATAAGCATCTGAAATAGTTTCTACCTTGAAAAGAATTTATATTAATTTCAAATGGCTTCACACTTACCATGGATGGGGAATCTCAGAGCAAAGGAAAGAACACCAATTTGCAAAAGGGTAAACTTTGATTTTAAAGTGGAATTTGATAAGCAGTCTATTTTTGCAAGTTTACTTCCTTTCATTTTTTGCAAAGACACTATTTTAATGTTCAGAATATATATACACATATACATATATATTTATACATATACATGCATACACATACACACACTCTCTCTCTATATATATGTGTGTGTGTAGGTTTGTCTGAAATGTGCCCAACTGCCAAAAAACTTAGATTCAAGCAAATAAATGTGTACCACACATATATAAAGCTTCTTATTAAAAACATTTGTGTTTGTTCCAATGTATTTCACATCTATGAAATACTGAAATATTTAAAAATCTTACTGCAAGATATACGTATCAAAATATTTTCCAAACTATAATAAATTCTCTTTGACTAATTTTTCATAATGCAATTCTATTTAACTGAATGCTCTGGAAATTTTATTTTATACATTATGCACTTTCAAAGAATAAAAATAAATTCTAAGTAAAATGTTATCGGATATTACTCAAATTTTTGTGATTCGAAAGGTTAGGCTCATAATAAATATCAATTGCTATATAATTACCTTCATTATCAATAATTCAACCTCTGGTGGCCTTTTTTTTGGCTTAAAGCTGAGAATTAGGAAGTTAAAAAGTTGTTACACATAATTGTAACAACCTGGGTTATATGGTTGCCAAGGTCAAGATTAGAGACATAAAATTAGAGGCAGTAGAATATGACAGAGCATTCAAGCTTCTTCCCTTTAAATTATCTACCTATTAACACCACTGAAGATTCATGTTACTCTGTTTTGTCATGAAAGGTTTAATAGCATTAAGCATGAAACATGGAGTAATTGTTACACAGTGTATGTGTATGTCTGCATGTGTATGTATGTGCGTGTGCCTATGTGCTGCATCTTTGTCACACTTCCCAGAACTGTTTAGGAAAACTGAAATGTAATTAAGATTACCATTATCATATTGTTGTCTATTTTCTTATTTTCTTACGTGATCGAAATAAAAGATCATTTAATCCATGGTTGATTTAAATATTCCTTAAAAATCAAAAGCACAAGGAAAAAGAAAAAACTAACAATATTAAGGGGAAAAAAAATAAAAACACCAGCTGAAAACCGTGTGGATTTTTCTTATAGCTCAGTGAACTACTGGCATATCTATCTTTCCTCATCAACTGAAATTTCCAGATGGAAAGTATTTAGGAATTTTTGTTTTTTGTTGTTATTTTAAAAAGGTTTTTTTTATTGATTTTCAGAGAGAGGGGAAGGGAGAAGACAAGGGTAAGAGAGGAACATGGATGTGAGAGTGAACATGAATCGGCTGCCTCTTACAAGTCCCCTATCAGGAATCAAGCCCTCAACCCAGGCACATGCCCTGACTGGAAATTGACCTGGCAACCTTTTGGTGAATGGGATGACACCCAACCAAGTGAGTCACACTGGCCAGGGCTAGGAGTAAAGTAGTAAAGAAAAAAAAGTCCAAAATAGATGTTATTCTCTCAGACATAAATATCAACTAGATATTCTATGTCAATGGATTTTCAATGTCAGGGAGAGGTCTGCTGTAGTTCAAGATTACATAAGAAACACTGATCTGGCTTCTAGGCCAATGTACATCCACTGTTCTGAGGTTAGCTTCCAGAATTAAACATTTTATGACCCATGAAGAAAATCTAAAATCAGGCACTGAGATTTAGGGAATGTTATTCTTACAGACCTGGAGCTCAAGGAGTGATTCTTAAGAGGCACAACTTTTAAATCATTCCACAGCCCTTTTTACAATGTGGAAGAGTGCAATGTGTAGAGCTGGAATTCCTCAGAAATAAGATGTAGACAAGAGTCAGAGCAAAACGGAGCCGTGAATAAACATCACCATTTCCCTCTAGCACAAAGAGGTGTAAGACAAGGCTTTCAATGCGTTGCCATGGAACAACCTACAGATGAAATGATTTTCTGTGAGACAGTACCTAGGTTGGGAGAATGGTCAGATTTCAAAAAAAAATTTTCTCTTAAGAAAAAAGTACAGCACTGTTTTTATATTAATTTCCTAACTTAGGAAATTTCCCAAAGAAAGAGTCGGCCCAAAAGGAACATATGGGTGCCCAATTTTACATTTTTCTCTTCTGTAGCCATCATCGAGGCCATTCTCAAAAGGCAGAGCAGCTCAATACTGAACAAATATGTCCTTTAATGTCTGATTTTATCCAAAATCTTCAATACCTTCTGCTCTGAACGTTTATTCTGATATTATTATAAGCATGGAAATCTGAAGACCTACAATTTTATGGGTAGTCCTGAGGCATGCGGCCTAGTACCCACTAAAATAAAATAAAGTCCTCCTGTCATTTAAGTGAGGGCTGAAACGTCATCCATGAGATTCTCTTATCCATCCTAGTTTCCTAGGCTCAGGCTTATACATCATTAAAAGCTGTTCTTAATTAAAGTGTGAAGGGCATGGTGATCAATATGCACTTATAGAGGTGAGCTATCAGATCAGAGGTCAGAGGCTTATCTGGACCACACCCATTGTTTCACTTCATCAGGACCTGATCTCCCCATCATAGGAAATATTAAAAAAATACATAAAGATTAAGGAGGCACTGGCTCACTGAAAGAGCCTTATTTTTTTGTTGGCACCATTATGAAAACCTGTCCATTTAGAATACTTTGGTAGCTAAAATAAAATATTATTTGCTTCTGCCCTAACCGGTTTGGCTCAGTGGATAGAGCGTCGGCCTGCGGACTGAAAGGTCTCAGGTTCGATTCCGGTCAAGGGCATGTACCTTGGTTGCGGGCAGATCCCTAGTAGGAGGTGTGCAGTAGGCAGCTCATCTATGTTTCTCTCTCATCGATGTTTCTAACTCTCTATCTCTCTCCCTTCCTCTCTGTAACAAATCAATAAAATATATTTTAAAAATATATTATTTGCTTCTTTATAAGACTTTTTGCTTCTTTGGGTGCCTTATAGTATAAAATAAAGACAGAGAAGGAGAAAAGCGTGAGGGATACCATTTGACATGGCAGTTTCACATGCTTGCAGAATTTTGTATTAAGGACTTAATCATAGAGAGTTCTTAACAATCACAATTCAGCCTGATTGTTTTCTCAGGGAGGGCCTAAATGATTCTTGGGATGTTAGGTAATATAAGAAAGAGTTAACTAACTTAAGACCTAAGGTCAAGGCGAAGACAAGAATTAGAGCAAAATAATATCTACAAATTCTTATTCCACAGAGCCTCAGTTTATAAGATCAGAACTTGATGTTGTCCAATGTTTTTATTTTCAAGGTAAGACAAATTCTTATATTTCAGGAAGGCCAGGGACTCTCCTTGCACTATTTCTGACTGGCTATTAAATATTGCCCAGAGGGTAAAATTTCACTTAGACAGGAATACCATCTTTCTTGAATATTAGTATTCCTGTGATGTTTTAATGTGTTGCCACATGTGTGGAATTTCCTGGCATTACTGCTTGCTCATTAGAAGAGTTCCTATTGAAAAGTTGCTACCAGGAATTAACATGGAAACTCCATTCCGCTGTATGGTCATCTCATTACTTATTCTATCCACGGAACAGTGCAGTTCAGAAGGCATATGGGGACAGGTGTCCAGATGAAGGGAGAATGCTCTACTGTGAATTGTGGAGCAGGGTCTGTAGGCCAAACACAGCTGCAAGGAAAGAGGAATTTCGCAGCCTGTATTCTTTTCCTTCGCTTCATCATCACCAGAGAATGTGTACAAATTGAAATAAAATCTGGTTAGGGCTTCCCTTCGCCTGCAGCTTCTCCCAGACGTTGCAGAGGAAGGTTTAAAACTATGGCTGCTCTAGAATGTCAAGAATGTGTGCAATGTTTAAAAGAAGGAGGCTTACTTTTCTTCCCTTGGGGCGGGAGTGGGGGGGAAGGAAATGAAATGGATTAGAGTTTTTCCACTATCTCAGAGCTTCCCACCAGTTACTTCCCAGTAAAAAGTTATAAGGGCATTTTAAAAAAAGTTTCAACGCCTGATGCTTCTCTTGTAGTCAGCCGGTCTGTGTCTCTCTCAAATGACAATACTTATCAATATTCAACCATGATAACATTCCTTTCTGGAAAAGCGTTACCACTCCAAGTGAACTCTCCTAGGGAATCAGAGTAAGTGGTATGGCCCAGGTGAGACAAGTCCGACCAGAAGGAACCAGAATGAAGTTAGGCCACATACACAAGAAATCATGTGGTTGAAAGCACCGTGAAGTTTCTTTCCCATGACACTGATATTTAACGGCATCAGAGCGATCACCTCTATGGCCATAGTAACAAGGGGGGAAGCCACTGCCATTCTCTGGACCCATGAACTACAGGAGGAGGATCCTGATATCCAAAGATACTCAGTACTGAAAATGGGGGAGAAATCAGGTGCACTCAGAATGGAGATCAAAAGGAAATGAAAAAGTTTGAGACTTTATCTTAAAAGATAAAACTAGAAATTGTAAAAGCAATTTTGTATGATTTGACAAAACATAGGTGATAACTGCATTTGTGTACGAGATTGCAGAATGAACAAAGACTAAACCAAATACTATTTTTGTAGAGAAAAAGTGTGATATTTCTAACAAAATTATCTGAGGGCTTGACATCTTTCACTTCACTTTTTCCCCCCACAGCATAAGCAAGAAGACAGTCTGTTTGCAAAAAGTATTTGAGAACCAAAGGCCTCACCTAATTACTTTGTGTCATTTAATCATTTGATTTAAAAATAATTCTCATTTGAAACACCTATCAGAAAATCAGCCTAATACTTCACACACTGCCTGGTCTAATAGCGCCAGGAAGCCACATACTCACAGCTTAGCTGTACACCCAGCAGTTCTCCGACATCTCTCTCCCTGGCCTCATAAACTCCTGTCTCACCTTTTGCAAAGCTTGCAGTCTTGTTCTATAACCAATCTGTTCAATATCAAACACCCTGGGTAGATTGACAAACCAACATAGGTGTCAGCATCCAAGCAGAAGGAATGTCTGAGTAGGGACCAGCTTAAAAAATGGTCAGGTCCTTAGTGAATATTTGTGTGCTATGATGATTGCTTTCCTACACAACCTCATATCCCTGGAAACTCAAATAGTGAACAATTTGGAAAACGAGGACCTATATTTTTAACCAATAAAATGAAGTTAATTCTTTTAGGCTCAAAGTCTATCAAGTGATCATCTACTGGTGTTCTTAGAATTTCATACAAGATTCTGAGAACTTATAGGAGGACCTATTCAATGAATGATCAGTGTCTAACCATTACAAAGAATCTGGAAATTTTAAAGTTTGGGGGCTTTTAAAGTTTATTCTGCTTGTTTTTTTCTTCTTTATAATCTGTTTTAGGGACTAACAATGATACCTTAGTTAGGAGACAGAAATTAAGTAGTGTCTTCCCTTTTTTAATGCGATAAAGCACTGATATATTATTCTGAACTTCTAAGAGCATGTTTTCATTTATAGGCATCACCATTTCCTCTGTGATTAATAAATACTGAGACAGGACCTGAGCTAGCATCATGAAATAGTATAAGACTGTGCATTACAGATATCCCTTAAACATTAGTGTCTATAACTACTAGTCATATGTAGATGGATGACTAAAAAATCTCTACTTCTCACACACGTATTGCAAATAAGAAAATGTATGAATTTCAAAAATCTACAATATGTAACTAATCATTGAATGTAGCTCTTCAGTATTGTATTCTTAGAGGATATATGAACCAATCAAGCACCTGACCCAACGAACATTATTTGTCAATTATAACAAAATCACTTGTAATAGAGTTGCCGGTTTACCTGAGATTGTGCATTGACATTGGCTCCATTTGTAACCAAGACCTTTACCACCTCTGCTTGCCCAGCCAAAGATGCTATGTGCAATGCTGTGTTTCCTTTCTGTAAGATGAAAGCAAGATACATCAACACTCCCATCTTTCTCTGTTCTGACAGTTCACAAAATATCAAATCCCCCTGTTTTAAGTTCTTCAAAGAGAACAGAGTTGACAAGTATTTCATGAGAAACGTGCTCTGATTCTTATGGAGAGCTAACTCCTCATTGAGTTTGGCAAGTGACATAAAAAGCATTAAATGTGTGATACTCACCTTTGTAGCTGCATCCACATTGGCTTCTCTCTTTAGCAGTTCAGAAACAACTTCTACGTGGCCTTCTTTGGAGGCAAGATGGAGCGCATTCAACCCATTCTGATTAAAAGGGAAGGGAAAGCTTTACTCAGCAGATGGAAAATAGGGGAGTAAACAGTCTACCAGGAACTCTGGGAAAACATCCCACCAACAACCAGTTGTGTGTAGAAGCCTGAACTGGGAATAAAAGTACTTGAAAATTAGGTGCGCTGTTCTAATATCACTACTTACGAAATTTTAAATTTTAGGAATTGTTAAAGGATGCATACCTACATTTCTGAGCACTCCTCTAACAAAGCAGAGAATAATTTGATAATTCAAGCTGGTGAAATTTAACAGAAAAAAACTGGCAAAAAAGAGAAAGTCTTGGTAATATCTAATGAAAGATTTAAGGAATTAAAACAACAACAACAACAACAATAGCCACAACTCACCTGATTGCAAATGTTGATGTCAACTCCGTTTTTTATGTAGTCAAGGGCCTTTTCCACGTGTCCAGCTCGAGCTGCTCTTAAGTAACTTGCATTGGCATCAGACTAAAATAAAAGAGAAAAACGTTTTAATGAAAAAATGAAACTAAACATGCATGTTTGTATCTACTCAGTTTATAGTGAAAACTAAAAGGAATAAGATTTTTAAATTGAATTACAGGCATACTTCGTTTTATTGGATTTCACAGTTTTATTTTTTACATATTAAAGGCAAGACCCTCCACCAGCAAAATTATGACTGGCTTTACTGCAGTGATCTGGAATTGAACCCATGGTATTTTGGAGATGTGCCTGTATTGTATTTATAACATGAAAATACTAATGAAAGGTCTTTGTAAAGTTATCAGAAAAAAAGATAACTTCTTTAAAAGTTGGTTTCAATTATACAAAGTTACCCCCTTGTGAAATGTCATAACTGATTATGAACTGAAAGAGAAAATTTCCATAATGTGTAGGTACCTCCAATCAACCTGCAATTTCCAGAGGGTAAAGAGAAATCCTATAACTTCCTGGTGGCTACATTATGAAAACCTCATTATTATATCAGACATTTAACATCTATTCCATTCTTTTTAACCATCATGACCAATTTTACAATTAATAGCTTCACAAATACATTTAATGCCATTACACTAATTTAACAGGGAGTAATGATGTTCTCTTGGATTTTCCTACAGAGTGTATTTGAAAAGCATTTATAAACATCTACACAAATTGTGACCTGCACTTTCTTTTTAAAATAAATATATTTATTGATTTCAGAGAGGAAAGGAGAGGGAGAGAGAGTTAGAAACATCAATAATGAGAGAGAATCATTGATCGGCTGCCTCCTGCATGCCCCCTACTGGGGATTGAGCCAGCACCTGGCATGTGCCCTGACTGGGAATCGAATTGTGACCTCCTGGTTCATCAGTCAACGCTCAACTACTGAGCCACACTGGCAGGGCAGTACATATAAATTTAAAAAACAAAAACCAAACTTATAATTCACTTGCTGAAAATGTATAACTTGGAACTGCTACTAAACTCTAATACCTACAATTGCGCAGTTGAAACTACCTACTATTGAAACCTTGAATAGAAAGAAGCCAGTGAAAGTAAAGCCTATGAAGTTGGGCTTGCGTGATTTCTAAAGGAGTCTTGCTTGATGTAGAACAATATGGAAGCAGGTTTTCCTGAACGGGCAGCCTAGAACCCCGAGGATATTTTTTTTTCATTGATTTTTAGAGAGAGTGGAAGGGAGGGAAAGACAGAGAGCAATATTGATGTAAGAGAAACACATTGATTGGTTGCCTCCTGCACATGCCCTGACCAGAGCCCCGGCCGGAGAGAAGCCTGCAACCCAGGTATGTGCCCTTGACCAGAATTGAACCTGGGACCCTTCAGTCCACAGGCTGACGCTCTATCCACTGAGCCAAACTAGCTAGGTCTCATCACTGGTTATAAATGCAATGATGCAGGGTATGGCTTCAAAGAGGAAAGTGTCTTTTATCAGCTATGTGGCGAGTACCTCCTTCAAAATTTCTGCTCTACAAAGCCTTCCCAGACCTGCCAGATAGTTTCATTGCTCAGTGCTCCCAAAGCACTGATCTCATTGAGCTCTCTTGGTATTTATCACAGAGCATCATCGTTTTGGTACAGCATAGAGTTTAGTAGCAGTTCAGAGTTGTACATTTTTGGTATACCTCCCTAAATTGTAAAGCCCCTTAAGAACAGCAGAGGCAGATTAAGGGATAGGCAACTGGAAAGCTGAACTTTGAGGAATGCCAATTCATCCCTGGGAGTGTAGTTGTGATGTAGGAAATTCCATCCTTCAGAAGGGTCTTTAATGCTTGTGTGGGTCAGTTTAGTAAGGACTGACTTGCTCAGGACCTCAAAGGAGAGGGCACTGCCTCTAGTGTTATCACCCTTCCTAGGATAATTGCATTATTGGCATTTTGTTGCGGATAATTCTTTGCTGAGAGGGACAATCCTGTTTGTGTCAATGTTTACCAGCATCCCTGGCCTCTACCAACCAGGTACCAATAGTACCCTCTATTTGTTACAATTAACATGTCTCTGGAATTGCCAACTTTCCCTGGGAGGTAGGTAGGGCGTAAAACATCCTCAGTTGGGAACCACACTCTAGATAAATAGTCAACCAATTTATTTAAAGATTGGAGGCTTCAATAGGCTTAAATCTCTGGACAACCTTGATTGCCACATGCTTTGACCAAGCACCAAGCAGTGATTTCATGGATAATATTCATCTTTCTGTTCCCCTGCAACTGGAAGCATCCATAGCATATAGCAGGTACCCATACATTTTTTTTTGTGTGTGTGAATGAATTAATCAATAAGTAAATTGTGTGGAAAAAATTATTAGATAAGATATTGCCTGGAACAATAGAGGAAGCTTTATTAACAATAGCCACAGCTATTTAAATTGAGAATCTGTTATGATACAAAGCTGAATACCAGAGGCTGTAAACTAAGAAACAGAGTTGGGAAACACATATAAGTACTGATAAAATAAAACTAGGATTTGAATCAAGTATGCACATCATGTACTCAGCGCAGAAGGTTAAGAAAGAGATTCAAACCAAACAAGAGGCTCATACCAGACAAAGGACAAACCAAAGCTTCCAGAAACTTAAAGAAAAACCTTTAAAGAGGTTTGCTCTTTGAGATTAGTTTTTTGTTTGGTTTGTAGGTTCAGTTAGAAATACGTTAGTTATGCAAGGATGGCTCATTGTACCACAAAATATCATCTTCTTTGTGCCTGCTCAAGGACTTAGTAAGAGAATTTGCCCTGGGCTCTGATGCTGTTCTGGAAACAAATGACATCAGTCTGCCTGGATACTTCACCTGCCAGAGATAATGACTGTGAGTTAAGCATCTTAAAGTCTGACTTTTGAGGACATGAAAACAGCAGCTAAACAAATTCAAAAAGAGGTTGGTAATTCAAGGAAAACCCAAAATCTGAAATGGTTTGGCAATTTCATACACTGTCCATTTTCCTTTCAAATATTCTCAGAATTGTCCCACCTGAAACTCTAAAGCAGAACAAAAGACAAACAATATAAACCAAGCCTTCTAATTCAGTGGTTCTCTACCTATTTGGAGTTAATTTCTTTTGAGAATTACAAAAGATATCAACAAAGCCCCTTCCTTCAACAATGGCACACATATGCATGTACACACAATAAATCTGCACAGACACAGCAAGCGTGCATATGTACACACAACGTGCACACTATTTCATGAGGCTCAGGATGGCTACCGTAAGGCTGTTCATGGAGTCATGTGTAAGAACACCTGCTCTAAGGATAAAGAATTCTCTGGGCGAACCCGGCTGGTGTGCTCAGTGATTGAGTATCAATCTATGAGCCAGGGGATCACGGTTCGATTCCCAGTCAGGGCACATGCCTGGGTTGCAGGCTCAATCCCCAGTGGGGCGTGTGCAGGAGGCAGCCAATCAATGGTTCTCTCTTATCATTGATGTTTCTCTCTCTCCTTTTCCCTTCCTCTTTGAAATCAATAAAAAATGTATTTAAAAAAATTCTTTGGTAGATACCTTCACTATATCCATTTCACCCTACAACCCTGGAATCAAATAATTCTCAGAAGTAGCTAATTTTTCACCTGAGAATATTAGAAGGAAGAAAAGGGAAACATTTTATTTTCTTCACTTTCACTTTTCTCAAACCTCTGTTACATACAGTCATGCTTACCACACCAATACATAACAATTGGGCACTTTATACTTCAAAGTATTGGGGGAGAAAGAAGGTGGAAAAGATAAAGGCAGAGGAGGCTAATAAAATCTGATTTGGAGAAAATGGACCATTTGGAAAATGAAGTTAATAATGCCACAGAAAAATAACCAGAAGCTTCTCCATTTCTCCCAACCACCTGCAAGCAATGCAGTCACATGGTCCTTCCACAAATATGTGAGTATTGATGATGTGCTAGTTGGGCCAACATCTGACTGTGTGGCTGTGAACAAAACAGATGTGGTACAAATAAAGACTCACTAGCCTTCATCTCACTGTTTTACACTTTTCCAAATTATGTTGCTTAAATGGCAGAGTAAACATTTTTTTCCCCCAAATTCTGCTTGCAATATCTATATATTTTTATTTCCTTAGTGTTAAAAATAATTTGTATTAGGCTCAACATCAATGTGCTGCATCTTCAAGCTGTCCTTCCATCAAATAACTCGGGCTACTCTCCTAAAGTTACAGTCTGTTTTTAATCTGGAGCATTCTATCAAAACAATGCCTTTTTAAAGCCAGTTGTAGACAAATTATTATGGAAGGAAATTAGGTCTCATGAGAGGTTGAGCTCTGCAATGTGGAAAGTCATACAGAGGTCACTGCCTAAGGACAGTTGGCAGAAAATGAATACAAGCAGGCTAGTCAGCATTTTTTCCCCCTGAATGATCAAAATCTGAAGTAAGAATTTGGAAAATTAAAGTGTCCTTTGTCATTATTTAATATCTTAGCTATTTTACTAGACAGGAAAGAAATATGAGCCATGTATGCTTTTCAAGGAAATAGTTTCAAGGAGAGAGTTAAGCATTATTCTAAATTAATATAATGACTCAGCATTTCTACCTGTACTAGAATATTGATATTATGTACAGAAAATAGTGATAGGAAAGAATAAGCATTTCTTCAGTGTCAACCTTAGTAAGAACTAATATCCCAAACCTCTGAATATATGCTATATACTCTTACAAATACTTATAACTTAATGTATATTAAGTAAATAGTAATATTCTTATATATCCTTATGTTAACTTAGTTCTTATAATATTTCTATGAAGTAGTATAGTAGATTGAGTAGTGTCCCCCCAAATTCATGTCCATTTGGAACCTCAGAATTTGACCTTATTTGGAAACAGGATCTTTTCAGAAATAATTAGTTAAGATGAGGTTATACTGAATTAGAATGGGCCCTAAAACCAATGATAGATGTCCTTATAAAAGAGGATAAGATATACATATGCTGGATAATTAGGTTGTACATCTGAAACTGACATAATGTTATATGTCAATTATATCTCAG